ATACACATACACATACACATACATACATATTTAGTGTGGAATATAGTGGAATTTATAGACATTTGCATTCAGTCTCTTACTTAAAACAGATCACAATATCACCACTACACCCTGTTGTGTTTGATAGCAAACAATACTGGGCAAACATTATTGGGTGTAGCGGAGTATCTGTGTGACCTAAACCTCTAATCCTGTTCTGATTCACAGCTTCTTGGTCAGAAATTAGAAGTCTTCTGTTCTCTCTCTTTACCCACATCCACATTACCCTCTTGTCTACTTTTATAGAAACCTAACTTAGGCTAAATGTAGTTCATTCTACTCTTATTTTTCTTCACATACTCCCACTGCTTATAGTTCCTTCCAAATTCCTTCGTCTCATGGTGAAGAATAGTCATCTGATTGTTTCTTTTTCTTTTTCTGAACCATAAGAAGGTCCCAGCCAACTAAATGACACAATGTGAAATATATGTGGAAGGCTGTCCCGAGACTAATTGTTGTCAACATGTTGTGATTCCCATCAGATAAATGAAATGCCATGTCTGTCTCATTAGCTTATTAGAGACCAGCTCACAAGGCGTCGCTGGTCTTGAACAAATTGGTATCAAGTTCTATCAAGAAATAAGTCTATTCTAATATAAATCTATTTTGTGTCTCTGGTTCTTCTAGGTATGCTATAAAGATCCTGTTGAACCATGCGTTCTTCCAGGAAGACACGGGGGTCAGGGTTGAACTGGCAGAGGAGGATGATGGGGAAATGATTGCCATCAAACTCTGGCTGAGGATAGAAGACGTCAAGAAGCTCAAAGGCAAGGAATAATTTTATTTTTCGATTGAATTAAAATGTTTTTATATCTTGAAAAATTGTAATAGGAATATTTTGTTAAGCCTAAATCGAAGCCCTATTCAGAGCCATTGTAAAATAACCCATAAACACGTACTTCTAACCAAATAGTAGCAGGTAGCAGCTTTTCTTCATGTTGCTGCTCATATTATAATATTTAACTACTGAAAAATCCAAGCGCTTATTTTGGTAAATAATCATTAACATATTTACACCATAGATTTTAACTAAAGAAAACAGAAGGGCAGCTGCCTGACCGGCCATTTGTAACTTATTTGCAGGCAAATACAAAGACAACGAAGCCATCGAGTTCTCCTTTGACCTGAACAAGGACGTCCCTGAAGATGTGGCCCAGGAAATGGTATGCACAATGATGACAGATGGTGGTACAAGTGGTGGGAGAAAGTGATGGATTTAGGAAAGAGAGAATAGACTGAAGAGAAGGATATTGGATGGACAGAGGTAAGAAAATGGGGTCTTTTTTCTTTAAAAGAGTACCTGTGTGACTTCACCTAACTCCCCAGGTTGAGTCTGGCTACGTTGCTGAGGGTGACCATAAGACCATGGCCAAGGCTATCAAGGACCGCGTGTCTCTGATCCTGAGGAAGAGAGAGCAGAGGCAGCTGGTACGAGAGGAACAGGAGAAGAGAAAACTGGAGACTGAACAACAGCTGCTGCAGCAGCAACAGCAACAGCAACAGCAACAACAACAGCAACAACAACATCAAGAGGCACTCAAAACATCACACACACAGGTTTGTTAAACAGTAAGCTAGTTAGCATAGTTTTAATTATTATTATTATTGTTATTTGTAACATTGATCAGGAGTAAATAAGACTGTTTTTTGCGCTTTTATCACACAAGAAATTTTTACTGTTGATGCATCATTTTGTGATTTATGTTCACTGCCGTTTCCACCTGGCAGTCCACGTGGTCCTTTACTGGTTGTACAATTTTGTATTCTGATGTTTGGAAGTGCCTAACATAAAAATGTGAGGTTTTTATGTTTACTTTTTCTTTAGTTTGACCGTAGCTTGTGTTTGTTTGCCCGCAGGCAGAGGTAGAGGAGTCAGAGGTGGAGCAACAGCAGCTTCACTATCAGCAGACTGGCATCTCACACACATGTAAGACAACACGTAAACCACAAGTAGTAAATACAGTCAATATCATAGAGCACTGCATCGTCACTCGCATATTTTCTGTTTTCACTTTATGTGTTTCACCCTGCTAAGGTTCTTGACCACTTTAATGTATCAACACCATGGGCCTCACTAATGACAATATGTTTGTATGCATTCATTAATAATATCTTAGATTAATTCCATTGTTACAGCTTATGTTTGGTTAATAAAAACCCTACTCCTATTTAAGAAAACATACTCATATGTTAAGCATCTCTCACATATTGGTCACAACTTTGTTCCAGCTCATCCATCTCTGAAAGCATGTGACACATTACTGCGCACATCTAGCAAAATATTTGCTCGGGTGACACCCATCATAATATGTCGAGAGTTATTCCAGTATCATATTGTCATTGTCTTCCTGTAAACCAGGGGCTGCTATTGTTGAGTTATCTTTCAAATGTGGTGCACAGTTTACAGTCATCCTGTTGTAAACTAAAAACTCACTGGAAATATGAATTTTTCCTTCCTGTAATTGTATGCCGTTGAAGTTGTTGTGTCCTTTATAAACAACGTGTGCTCCCCTGTGGCCAACGCAGTCTTTCAATCCAGCGAGGAAATTACTTTTGTTTTTGTAAATAATTACTTGATTGTGAGCTTCTGTTCGAGTCATTACTTTAAGATGGGATTTATTAGACTGTAGTAGGGGTAGTAGAATAAGAGAGACAGGACAAAAGATAACCCTCCTCTTTTTGTTTCTCTCTCTCAGCTGAAGGAGGTCTGGACAGCGGCCAGGGTTCCTCAGTATTCTCCTCAGACTCCCCCCACCTGGGTCAGCTGACCATGTCGTACAGCTGCCCCCCCTCCAGCCAAACCCCTTCCCAGCCCCAAACCCCCTACCCTTCCACCCCCTCTGCTACCCCGCAGCAGCAGCAGCACCCGGGCTACGCCCAGCCGCCGCAAC